GAAATATGGGACAGAATGGTTCAATGTTTGAAGGTTGACCTTGACGTACGCGACACGCCTCCACTCGCATCCACGCGACTCGTGCGATGTTCCGAGCCCACGAAATGTTTGAAAAATACAATTCGCATTATTCATTTATTTATTCTCTCTTAGATACATAAGAGGAAACTGTTACTACGTTGTTCAATCATATCCTACGAATATTTATCAAATTTATTTTTTAAAAAAGTTACAAAACTGTCTACAGAATGCGAATACGAAATGCAAAGTTTTTTTTTTTATAACCGAAGAGAGCAAACGATAAGCGGGAACACCGAGTTGTTCAACAACGCCCACGGACACCAGCAATACCAGAGAAACCGCAGATGCGTTGCCGGCCTTTGAGATGGTTATACGCTCGATTCTTAAAGCTTCGCTTTATTTATTTAACTGTAAACTTTATATACAGAAATACATTTTGAAATTAAATGATCATCAAATTATTCTTAATCGTTAGGCCACAAAGATTTATTCGCCTTAACCAACTTAAGGTTAGCTTGAGACGAGGGATAAGAGGCAGTAGTACGCCATTGCAGTGCTGCTTGAACGTACAAACCGAGAACTAATGATTTGATAGAATTGTACTGTCTTACAATTGATGTACTGCAAAGCGTAACTACACTGGATTACTGTCGCTATGTATATTATAAGGTATTGTTCAAATTACATTAGCATAAGTCAAAGGCAACTGCAGACAATCGATTTTGTTGGCGCAATAACGCCCGATGTGGCATATCCTATGCGACGGATCCTTGCTCAATAGCTAGTGTTGCAACATTTATAATACTGGCAATTATTTACACGCAATAATAAATTTCGAAACTTTTTTATAATCTTACCAACAAGTGATTTTGCGGGAAATCTAAAATTAAAAATGGAATAAAGCAATAGACGATATTACAAAAAAAATTCTATTATAAATAGGTTCAGTACCTCTTTTTTATTTGTCAAAAGAAAAAGAATAAAATCTGTTATTGTTATAATCTATATATATAAAAGAAAGACGTGTTAGTTACACTATTTTATTACTCAAGAATGGCTTCACCGATATGGCTGAAAATTGGTGAGGTGGTAGCTTAGAGCCAGGAGACGGACATAACGATACTATTTTTTTTTCCGTATTTATGCCTTGAAGAGCTGCTTTTTATTTAACTTATCTATATGTTAAGTTTTTTATATATCCACGCGGACGGAATCGCGGTCGAAAGCTAGTATTTAAAAAAATCTATAGCCACTAAAGAAGTATAAATATAAAGGAAAACAACAGAATCTTATTTAGCTGTCGCCCGCGGCTCTGTCCGTACGGTAGCCTATGTGTTCTTCCAGACTGTTCTATAATACATGTGTGCCAAATTAAATCAAAATCCGTTAAACCGTTCCGGAGATACCTTCAAAAAAATATCCATCCGTCCATCTAAACATTCGCATAGATATTAGTAAGATTAATTAGGTGAACAAAAAAATCAAGGGACTTTTTTTTAAATTAATTTTATCTTAAATTTATTGTATATCAAAGTTAAGTTTTATCAGGTTGTCTTTGATTACAAAATCAAACTACAAAACAGCCAAAGCAATACTCGTTTGATTTAGGCCACGTCTATACAAGAGGCATTTAAATCCGTCCTTATAAAGCGCAGTATCCTAAATAGGTCTGGTTACTATTACATTCAAAACAATCATGACTTGATATACAATACGGTAATCAGAAACAGAGTGTTATTGTGTACTCAATATGTTATATATTATGTCAGACTATATGTCGCCCGCGACAGCGTCCGCGTAGAATAAAAAAGTTTATCAGTAGTCTATGTGTTTTTCCAGACTATGTTCTACATCTATGCCAAATTTCATCAAGATTCATGCAGCCGTGCAGAAGATACCTACAAACAAACATCCATCTAAACTTTCGCATTTATAATATATGTAAGATGTAAGCTCAAGTTTTGGCTCAAGACTCCCTCGTTCTAGATATCGTCGTGGTCTCTAAGGCCCTTCGTAATGAAAATGTCGTGATATATTTTAATATAATGCAAGCAAACCAAATTTTGTCACGTTTTCATTGCGGTTGAAAAATCTAATACTTACCCAACTCATGTATGTAACATCAGAGTAATTGCTTAAAAACATACGTTTTTATATTAACACACAAACACACATTTGACTTATTAAACCAATAATTAAGCCATTGCTACATCAACAAAAGTAATAAACATAAAATTATTATGCATACAAAAGAAATATAATTCCAATTAATTTTCGTAAATTCTGTCAAAGCATATCTTTACACTATTGCTATCTCTGTCTGTTTTAAAGAGAGTGTAAGCGATAGCAATATAAAGGTGGTATTACAGTAAAGACTAAGCAGTAATCTATACTAATATTATAGCATATCTTTAAGTACACTATTGCTATCTCTGTCTGTTTTAAAGAGAGTGTAAGAGACAGCAATATAAAGGTGATATTACAGAAAAGACTAAGCATTAATCTATACTAATATTATAAAGAGGAAGAGTTTGTTTGTTTAAACGCGCTAATCTCAGGAACTACTGGTCCGATTTGAAAAATTCTTTTATTGTTGGATAGCCCATTTATAGAGCTTTAGGCTATATAATACGGTGCGACCATTATTATTCCCTCACGGACGGAGTCGCGAGCGACAGCTAGTGATTTTATATTTGAGGACGCTTAAATCAATTCAAGTATGCTCTTAGCAGACGCTCGTCAGACTCCCCTCTAACATCAAAGTTTACCTCTCCTCTTAGTTATTCAATTAAAAGAGCACTAATTGCTGCTTTTTTAATTCGATGATAAATTAAATTCAACAAATAACCACTTGTTTCCGAAGAATCTTGAATATGCACCATTCAAACTCGAAGGTGACAACCCTATTAATCGGCGAAATTCTTCCATGATTTAAAACAGTCTACAATGTTCAGCTTTCGCCTCAAAGCCGTGTAATAACAATGATAAATAACAATAAGCTTTACTTTATACTGGCAACATGGAAGTTAACAATAGCTATTCGCTTTCCATAGACAATTGATAGACGCTTGACACTGATCTAATAAAGTCTTAGGAACAGAAGAAATAATGGCCAACAGATAATACAGAACACAACCAATAAATTATCATATAAACTTTTCGATCATTTTAATTTTAAATAATTATTACATAAACTTCAAATGTCTTCCTTAGTGACCAATTAACGACTTTGAGGTAGTAATTAAAACCACAACTCAAAGTTGTCAAATCCAAATCCCATTTCCGAACGAATAAAACGTTAAGTAAATATTCAGTACAATAATAACAAATTAATATTTTCGGAACAATCCACTATCGAATTAAAAGCTAGCCTTACATCCTGTGAACGGGTGCGTTCAAAGGAAGCACACTTCATTAATTCATGCGCCGTACATAATCGTGCACAATGGCAACACTCATCCGTGTCTTAGACAACTAAACAATGACACTAGTTATTCATTTACTGTTTTTAAAAAAAAAAAAACAAGAATTAAAGACAGTTGAAATAACAAAAGAAATAGAATACGTGTTTTTATTTCATCATTCAAAAACTCGGAATTATTCATGGTCACTTACGGAGTTTCTTAGCATTGATTTGGTGAGAAAACATTACTAAAAAGCTGCTTAACACTAACTAATGGTCGACATTAATCATATACCTTTTCGTAATCATAATTTTTTTTATTAAAAATATACTCTTTATGTACTTCTTCTCCATATAAACTTTAAATATATAACAAACACATCTGTTTTTGCTTCACGTGTAATAAATAGATTTTGTGACAAAATAAATCTATGTAAATTACGCAACAACTAGCAACACAGACTAATTGAACACACTTTTTTATCTGTTGACATTCTTGTGAGAGATAAACAATTACCGAGTCAGTACAAATTAGTAAATTCTTAAGAGAACATAAAACATTCACCGCAATATTTTAAACGACTTTCCTCATGTTAGCACTATCTTTGACATGTTATTTTGCGTCTCTTTAACTTAACGACTTAAAACTCAGTTGTTTTAATTGATAAGACAGTCTCTTAGCGCAGCCTTCTCACACTAAGACCATAGATACAAAACCTACTAGCTGTCGGCTGCGACTTCGTCCTCGCGGTATTAAAAAAAAACATAATTAGTAGTCTATGTGTTCTTCCAGACTATGTTTTACATCTATGCCAAATTTCAGCGAGATTTATACAGTCGTTCTCGAGATACCTTCAAACATCCATCCTTATAAACATTCGTATTTATAATATCAGTAAGATAATAAGATATACCTATGACTTAAGCCTTTAGTGACCATTACAGCTCACAGTACAATATAATTATTTAATCATGAATTAAAAATTATCAAAGTTTTATTATCTACGTCTTCATTCAAAAATCAAGTGTTCAAACAATGAAAACCTACCTTAAATTGTTAATTGTTGCATATTATATCAATGAGTAGAAAGATGACTTATTATATATTCAAATCATAACTGTTGACTACACATAGAATAGTTAAGAAATGCTATCATCTTAGTAACACTGATGTAGTGTTTACGTACAATTTTGTTAATTAGTTAGGTTTCCATCATACAATACCAATTTATCTATTGTTATTTGACTTAAATTCGTATTTCTTATATTAATTATGACGGTATTAAACAATATTGCATTTTACGATGAACCGTCATCAAAGTTAAAACGACTTGCATTACTAAGAAATGTTACACAAACCTGTATCTCTCTTGCATTAGTTCAAACAGGAAATACTTCAATGAACTTCGTAATTAATTTTCAAACTCATACTAAACATATCATTTTAAAACTACCGACTATTTTACTCAACAATTAATTTCATCACTTATTTTTGCTAGTTTTATTAATACTGAGGTTATAAGAATTGATAACACAAAAAATTTAAACTGGTATAAAATAAATATATATTACTTACCGAAAAAATCCTCCCAAGTCATAGAATGATCTGAGTCAGCGTTAGCCCCGTCCATCTTCGAGCCGCTGGTACAACATGCGTTAACTAGACATTATGCAAATAAAGCCGCTTAATTGTATAACAATATAACAAAATACACGACAACAAACTTTCTTATTTCACCAAACACATTGTTATATTGAAAATATTTGTTTATAAACAAAAAAACATTGCGCTCGATATAGACGCGATCGCATCGAGCACAGACAAAAAGAAACACACAACCACCTCGCGGCGACGCCGAGTCGTGAATGAAATTGGAAAAGTTTGTGCGGCAAAGGCAACGTCTGCAAGCCGCTTGATCTATAAAAGCTATACACAGCCTTCGTCAATGCTTTACCTTCGTTTTTAAAAGCTCGTAATGGCATAAATATATTTAAAATTATGGTAGAAATGCAGAAAATGTCACATTTTACAGCGAATCCGCTTAATGGAATAAAATTACGGTCGGTGGATATTAAGATGTGATGTTTTTGTTTATTTTAGAAACAAAAAAGGAAGGCAAGCAAGAGCTAGTTCCCGACAGAGCTAGTATGTTCCCGACAGAGTTTACACTTGAAATTAAATAGGTATATCTACTGTTTAGTTTTCTTTTTAATTCGAAAATTGCGCGTATTTCGTCACAACTTTTTATCTTGACACTGTTGTCATGCTATTGTCATCTGTTTTCGACCATAGACTATAAAAATTTTGAAGAAAATTACAAAATCCCTTTTATTGGTATTTTACGACCCTAAAAGGCTCAACTCAAGGTAAAACCAAGAGCTATGTTAAATTTTTCATCTAAGAAAAATAGTCTCCGTTGTTTTAAGTTCTTTATCAGTCAAAAATATTTTTTTATTACCAAAAACATTCGTAATTTCTTATGTCATCTGTGGCCTGAATCGATCGTTTGTAATTTCTAACAACATGGCGAACTTGTAATTGTAATAATAATACACTCCATATCCAAAAAGTATTTCTGTGAATGTTTTTTGACGAATGAGTTAATCTTTTTTCAAGTGAAATTGATATTGAAATATTGGTGACATCCAGAAATCATTTATGACAATCATACATTTGGGTTTTTGTAACATTTGAGGTAATCAACTGTCGGTAAATTACAGTAACTGATATTTTTACCAATTTAATCGCATTGAACATAAAGAAATGATACATCTGTATAAATTTCTTTATGTTCATTGCTACTAATAATTTTAACAATCCAAAGGTATTGCTCGAGTTTTGTAAATTATTTCAAGCACTACCAAACATTTTGTAAAATAATATTAATTTTTGTATATTTTCTCATAGTATGCCTCGTCGTGGTAACGAAATAGAAACTCCGGTTACACCGAAGAAGAAAAAAGTAACGGAAGAATGTGCCAGTTTAGATGCATCTTTCTTTGATGATGAAGCTTTACCTCCTGGTATAGTCTTTACTGATGTCCAGTCAAAAAAGTGGCGAATAGGGAAGCCTATTGGTATGACAATGCTTATATACTAATCTATATCCTTTATTTGTGATTGGGTTTATCAACAACTTCTTGTGTGTAATCAAAAGAGAAAGTTAATCGGAAACAATCTTAAAGTAATCAGTGCCATTAATTGGCCCTTCTGATTTGTTTTATTTTATTTTATTAAAAGATGTCAAAGAAGCATGATGCTATGTGTTTTCACTACTCTATAATTTGTGAGAATCTAAGTGACAGTATATGGTTAATCATTCAAAACTAATATATTTTAATATAACTTACTTTATAAATGTCTTTCTAACAGGTCGAGGTAGTTTTGGTAGAATTTACCTTGCATCAAGTGATGTGGATAAAGAAGTTACAAAACAGAATGCCAGATTTGTTGTGAAGATTGAACCACACACAAACGGCCCACTATTTGTCGAAATTCATTGTTTGATTCGAACAGCACAAGCTTCTAAAGGTAATTCAAATGAAAAAAGCAAAAAACAATGTTTAATTTCAATGTAATTATTATTATTTACCAAAATATTTTATGTATCACCGACAATCCATAGTATACTTACATTTTATGTTCAGAATTTTTTTAAGTAAAAATGTATACAAAAATAATAACTTTTCCTTTAGGTTGGTCAGATAAAAATTGTCTCAATTGCTATAATATTGTCCTAAGTAACTGTAAATTTATGTTTCAGTGAAGACATGGTGTCAAGAAAAAAAGCTAAAGCGACTTGGTATGCCTACTTATATAGCAAGTGGTTCCTTCACCGAAGAAAGTACCGGAATAAAATATAGATTTCTAGTCTTACCTAGATATGATATTGATTTACAAAAAATCATAGCCAGAACTCGAACTCTAGACTTAAAAAATGTATTAGTTCTATCTATACAAATATTAGATGTTCTAGAATACTTACATAACCAAGGTTACACACATTCGGATATCAAAAGTTCAAATTTAATGATTGGATTTGACAGTATTAAAGTTACAAAAGCCAATACGCCTAAATCAACACAAAGTTATCAAAAGAACACCAAACAAGTTGTCCTTGTACCTGAGAAGCATAAAAAACCCAAAACAAGTCGTTCCAGATCTTCAAATTATTACAATGATGATGATTATATTGTCAGCCAGAAATCACCAGAGATTTGTAATAATGACAAAAGATTGGTCAGTGTCAAGATGAAATTACGTAAAATTCTTACTGAAAAAGATAACAAGAAGTTACATAGACATCATGCATTTAATTTGAGACATTTATCAAATTATGTTAACTATGAAGACTTAAGTTCAGTTTGTTCCGATAGATCATATCAAAAGTTGTTGGATGATTTCAGTAATAAAAGTTTACTTTGTGTGGTTGAAACACTTAAAGATGTGAATAAACCAGAAAATAAAGATTTAGAATTACAGTTGGATCAAATATACAAAGACGCCATTCTTTCTCAATCTAATGGTCAAATATATTTACTAGATTATGGTCTAGCATCAAAATTCTTAGATTCCGATGGTAACCATAAAGATTTTGGTATGGACGCAAGGAAAGCTCATGACGGAACTCTTGAATATAGTTCTAGAGATTCACACATTGGCGCTCACTCAAGAAGATCTGACTTGGAAACCCTAGGTTACAATATGCTAGATTGGCTCACAGGCACGCTACCTTGGAAGACAAAGGAAGTTCTTGCCGAACCAGATTTAGTACATGCAGTAAAGAAAAACTTTATGAATGACATTAAAACTTTACTAAAAACATGTTTTAAAACTGAATTTTATCCACAATTTATGGAAAAATATCTTCAGTACATCGCAAGTTTAGATTTCACCGAAAAACCTGATTATGATTACTGTAGAAATTTATTTAAAAGTGAAATGATAAGAAATGGTTATGCATTTGATAAAGAGATGAATGTCAATTTTGCTGAGCCATCTCTATCACCAATAAACCGTAGTAAATTAGGTTACACAAAGAGGTTTGGTAGGAAAAACACTCCTCCAGATTTCTTATCAAGAAATGGTATTAAGAAAACTTATGAGAGAGAAAATGTATGTTCTATAGAGAATGGTCTTAAATTAGAATTATTAAAACATACATTGAATACGTCCAGTGAAGGTGTACGCAAGCCATGTTCATCGCGGAACTTTTTCATATCCGATGCAGATTTAGTCGCCCGTTTAAAAAAATCCTTAATGCCCCATGATTTGTTTGGAAAGAAACTATCACCGAAAAATTTGAGATCTAAACAGAAAAATGTTACAAAACGCAAAGGAGCAAGACGTCACAGGAATAGTATTGGAAAATTCGGTAACTTAATGGGGTCGGCGAGACAGTTCACTTGGGCTGAAATATTAGCTGGCAACCCGGAAGATATAATCAGGAAGGATCGTAATCCTGTGTCTAATGTTGATGTGGAAGATGACTCAACCTGCAAGTATAGAATTAGAAAACTATCAAACGCATCATCCACAAATTGTGACACAAATCTTCAGTCACCGTTAATGCAAAAAGATTACCTACAAGGTTTAAACCCAACATATGCTATGAAGGAAGTATTAGCAAATTTTAAGAAGAAACTTTCCGGTAAATGTATTAAAGAACCAGAAGAATGTCCGCCTGGCTTAGAAGGTTATACTCCGATAATGATAAAATTACACAAATTAAAAGAAAAGAGAGAAGCAAAAGAGAAATTAGAATTACTAAAACAAAGTACAGAAAATAAAGTATTAAAAATAGAACCGATGTGTACAAGATCTATGTCTAAGATTTGCGAACCTGTGCGTAGGTCTACAAGAAAGAAACCGGGCAATGGTAGTGATGCAAAGACATCAGATATTGAAAATTCCTCTGAACAAGTGCCTATTACTGTTAAAAGTAATGATGAAATCAAATCTCCGAGGACAAGAAGTGCTACAAACAAAAAAGATGTTACAACTGCCAATAAGAAGTCTGCCCAAACTAGTAAGTATACAAAATGACATAATAATTACTAATCTAATGTTGCTGAAAGTAAAATTTAAAAGTTTTATTTTCTTTTTTGGAATTTTTGTAAAGATTTTATCTCTTACTAATATTGTAAATACGAATTTTGGACCCAGGTTTGTTTGAAGTTATCTCCGGGACAGCTGAATATGTCTATGAAATTTGACACAGATATAGAATATAGTCTGAAAGAACACATAGGCTATTATAATTATGTTTTTTTTTTATTTTGCCGGACCTAGTCGTGGGCAACTGCTAGTAGATTATATTTGGAATGTTTAACATGTCATCAAAATATATTATCAAATAATTAATTATAATATTTATTTCTAATTTTCAGGAACGAAAACTACAACAGTTGTTCTGAACCGAAGAAGATTAAGAAGCAGTAAACGTAAAAAGAGTAAATAGAATAATTTCTATTTTTTATCTGTGACAGCAGTGTAGCACAGATACCATGTAGCAGAAAACCTTTTGTTTGAAGGTTAACATAGTATAAGTATAATGGTAAAATTAAAAAAAATCTATGTCTGCAGTAATAATTATTGCATGTTTTAGACATTGAAATTGCCTTTCTGGTGTCTTATTAATTAATAAAAAGTTTTCATTGAAATTTGAATTATTTCGTTGGTTATTTTTGATATCAGCCCTACCGGAGGACTTGAGCCTACCAGAAACCAGGGATAAATTCCAGGGTCTTTTCAAGATAGAAATTTTAAATGTCTTTTTTATTGCAATCACTTTTGTGAATAATCTTGAGATTTTGACACTGTTCTTTTTGAACATTGGTCTATACTTTGTTGTAAGATTTCGCATTTAGGAAATTTAAAATTCGATAGTATCCTATCATTTATTTTTCCCACCTTATGGTATTTTTTATCAATAAAAGATTTGTCTTTCTAGTTTTGTCTTTTATTACGTGCCCACTCCCCTAGAATAGCTGTCTCTCGCGAAATTAAAAATAACATATAGTATATAGTAGCCTATGTATTCTTCCAGAATATGTAACAAGAGTATTTTTTCTAGCTTGAATAAACATGCCCTCATCATCAACCTGCCTTGTCCCTACAGAAGGTAGACACAGTGTATACTGCTCTTCCGTGCATACCACCAGCCGTCATATCTGAATTTACACCCATCATAAGCGAATCCTTTTTTACACAATCCATCCACACTATTTTCGGTTTTCCTACTACAGACCTATTTAGCTTAAAAAAAACACTAAATTATTTTTAATGTTGCCAACATTTTGATTTTTATCATTTTGTCCCGTCACTGTCATTATGACAGAATAATTTGAGGTTATGTTATCACTCAAGTGTCAGTTCAAGTCAAGATAGCTGATTACAAGTAATCTGTGTGCAATTGATAGTGAAATGACTTGACTGAATTTAAATTCATTAATTTTTGTACCAATACTTGTCCACTACAGTGTTAGTGACAAGTTGTTTATAATTTCTCTATGAATTTATGAGCCTTACACATTCAAGTTTTTAATGCATAAGTGTGCATAATCTTCAAATTAAATGAGAGTAAAATTGATATAAATTATCAATTAACTATGGAAAGTGAAAAAACGAATGTGATCCGTGTTGGATCTAGGAAAAGCGAGGTAAGTGTTGTGATAAAGTTCGATTATTATCAATTGATATATATGTTACGTGAACTTCCGTCAAAGGCCGAGGTCTTAACCTATATTCGTAATCAGACATTCCGTTTATTACTAACAATGTTTTATAATAGCTTTGCATGAAATAACAAAAATACGAATGATGTACTTTGTCCAATCACCAAACCTTCACAAATTTCAGCATAACATTTAAGTAAACAACTATAGCCGTCGTAGATATAGGTATTATAGACCTGACCACATATTTCCCTGTATATAAATACTGGCAACTCTTTGATATAGTAAAGAATACATTTATTTATTTCTACTTAATTTACTTTTTTAATTAGTGTTATTTTACTTACACAACTAATAAAACATCTCTGTGGTGGTATTTCCATTGTACATATATAATTCAAGGAAAATCTTTGATGTTAGTCATGACATAATATATATTTACTTATTGCATAGTTTACAGTTTTTCCTCAAAGGATTTCCTAGAGATTAATTGTTTATAATAATTACTATGTGCATATTTTATGTTAAATGTTTTTTATCTTTAAAATCTATTTCAGTTGGCACTCATACAGACAAACTTTGTCATAGATAGTCTGAAAAAAGTATATCCGGATAAAGAATTTACAATAGGTAAGCATATTTTATAGTTTACTAGCTGTTGCATGAGACTCTGTCCGCTGGGTACGAAAAAATACCTTAAGTAGCCTATGTGCTCTTCCAGACTATGTTCTACATCTGTGCCAAATTTCATCGAGATCTATGCAGCTGTTCCAGAGGCACTTTGTAATAAATATCCATCCATCTAATCTAAACCTTATCTTTATTGGAATAGGTGGATAAATTAACAAGCTGAATGTTAAGTGATTCAATGATCATAGTTATGGGTAACTCCAAAAGAACTGCTGAGTTTTTGGCTTTAAAAAGACTAATAATTTTTTTTTTCAGTATCCATGACAACATTAGGAGATAGAATACTCAATGTGTCACTGCCGAAAATTGGAGAGAAATCTCTATTCACGAAAGATCTAGAAGATGCACTAAGAAATGACTCTGTTGATTTTGTTGTACATTCTCTTAAGGACTTACCGACTACATTACCAGAGGGCTTAGCTATTGGTGCTGTATTTGAGAGGTGAGTCACATTTTTAAGACCAGTTACAATTTTTTTTTATATTTTTAGGTAGAAAATTAGTGACTTATGTTGGCATTATAAAATTTTTATTGTAATTTATTCTAGTACTTTGATACTGAATTATGCAAAATTTGCAAGTCAATATTATTTTACAGTAAAATACTTGTTTGTCATGGTGATTACTTGATTTGATTCTGGCTGAAATATTTTTTTTTTGACATACAACACAAAATACACCCAATCAATATTGTGTCTCCCTCTATTTGTCTGTCTCTTTCTTTCTCTGAATTATTTGTTACCCTAATTTTTGATATATCAAATATAAATGTCGCTGTATAAGATACCCTACTTCCTAGTTCGATAATTCGAACTCATGATTGAACAGACGCGTTTTTGTAAAAAAAATTTCATAACAACGATAAGCCGAATCTTGCATTTTGCACGTCGTGATATCTTATCTCTCAAGTTATTAAACTCGTTTTTAATTCAAATATCAGTTATTTAAAAAATAAAAAGCCAAACAAGCTATAGGTCGTCTGATAGTAGTTAACAGCAGAGGAAATCAAGCCTAAATGTAACGTTAAATAAGTCTTTAGTTTTACTTTTTTAGTTTATAGGACTTTAATTATGCTTGTCTTAATAGCATTCTAACTTGAAATAATAAAACATTAAATGCAACTTAGTTAAAAATGTTTTATTGCGCTAATTGTAATTCTACTTACTAATTGGGTAACAACCGTAGTGGAATGTTGGTGAAATCGACTTTTTATTGGAACAGGAAATTTAGTTTTATTTGTTCTTTGCTGATTATCTTTAATTATATTCTTATTAGAATTAATATCTAATTATGTACAGGAACCCACGTCCCACGTCATGTTCTGAATGTTTGACTTCATAAATTTTTTTGTTAGTAACTTTTTTTGACACATCGAGATCAATGATGCGAAAATTCTTATTCGAAACAATAGTCAGTTGATTTTTTGACTCAATTATTGTTCACTTGCTTCAGAGAGGATCCAAGAGATGCATTGGTGCTGCGAGAGGAATTAAATACGCACACATTGAGCACTTTGCCAGCAGGCTCCGTTATCGGTAAATATAACATAACCTATAAAGTTTGAACTTTATATTTATAGTGGAATTTATTCTTATTTCAAATTCCTCAAATTTTTCGACAGAAAGCCAACCTTAGTGTTGTCTAAACCTTACCAAATACTTATTACAAAGCTATTGTTATCTAGTTATTTTTTCATTGAAAATTAGAGAAATTCAAAGATGTTTTTTAAATTTCCAGGTACTTCATCTCTACGTCGCACAGCACAACTCCGTGGGTCATACCCACAACTCTCTGTGATTGACGTCCGAGGCAATTTGAACACAAGGCTGAAGAAACTTGATGCACCAAGTAAAGAATATTCTGCATTACTTTTAGCTAATGCCGGCCTGCAGAGGATGGGATGGGGGAATAGAGTTTCCAAAGTGAGTTGGTGAAACATGTTTATTGTCTATACTAATATTATTAAATTGAAAGATTTGATTATTTGGTTGCATTGAATAGGCTCTGAAACTGAATCAATTTGAAAAATTGTTTTACTTTTAGGTTAGGTATCTCCGGAATGGTTCAACAGATCATAATGAAATTTGGCATGGATTTAGAACATAATCTGGAAGAACACATAGGTTAATTAAGTTTATATTTCTGTATATTCCAGATACTTCCATGTTCAGAAATAATGTATGCGGTAGGCCAAGGGGCATTAGCTGTTGAATGTAGATCAGATAATGAAGATATATTGAAAATGCTCGCACCATTCAACCATGCAGAAACTTATTGCAGGGTGCTAGCAGAGAGAAGCTTCCTCAAAACATTGGGTAAGTGTTTCTGAATATTTATAATATGTCTAATCTGATTGTAAGTTGAAATTATGTTGGTTAATATAGTAGAATCCAAAATATATCTGACCCGGGGTTGCTATCATGATTTATTCTTTGAAAATAATTGTGAAACCTATACTTGAATTTAATGAAAATTTAAAATAAAAAAATATATCTAACAATTTTAATAAGGCTGTTAATAGTCTTATTGAAGATAGTCGTATTTGTAGCAAATTTTGAAATAAACCTTAAACAATAAATGACATTGTCAGGATTCTTTAACAATTTTTTTTCATTTGCATTAACTTTTTTGATTTTTACATCATATGACCAATGAGGGAGGCGGCAGCTTCAATGTTTTTTTTTTTCAGTTTTCATAATTACGAAATTCCATAAAAATATAGGATGAATTTGGATATAGCAATTTAAATAGCAAGGAATAACTATGACAACTCAGGTCTTCAGTTGCAAATCAATTGATTTTTGGAAGAATTTGAGAAATTTTTGTTTACTGGTAACCTTAAAACTTGTAAGCCCTTCTGTCAATGTCAAAAAACTGTCATGATCCTTGTCTTGTGAGACTTTTCCGAAATTTTGTGTCAGTTTGGTCACCGGGTCAGATAATTTTGTCAGTCTATAGTAATGTACATTTTCCTGGTATTCCTAGGCGGTGGGTGTAGTGCCCCAGTAGGTGTTTCTACAAAATTAAAACATGAAGACCCTCAGTACAAATTCACAATAGATGGCGCTGTATGGAGTATGGATGGTACAACAAAGATACATGAAACTCTAGAACTGGTGTTGCCACAGATAAAGAAAACACAAAAACATAAGTTAAGTCCAACAGAAGAGACTGATTGTAAGAAATTGAAGAAAGAAGAAAACGGTGCTCCTAAAGGTCTTGATGCTGTTTTAGAATTAAATAGAAGAATAACGGAAAGGGAAAGTAACCTTAATTGTAAAGATACAAGATTGATGGAGGAGATTGCCAGTTTAAAATGTCCAATATTTTGCGGTTTGTCTGAAAATAGCAACATTCCTATTGATGTTATTGAAAAATGTGAGAATCTAGGCAAAGAATTAGCTAATAATTTAATATCTAAAGGTGCTTTAGATGTAATGAAAGTAACACAAGATTATATAAGAAGTGCAGCTGCTCAAAAATCTTGATTGTTGATTTACTTTTTAATTTTGTGTATATTTTTAGATACAGGGAAATATTTATATTATGGTTACAAATATATCTTGTTTTCTTCGTGACATATAACCTAACTTTTTTTCTGTATCAATAGTGTTGCCATTAAATTAGTATTTAATATATTTAATAAGTACTTATATTTATGTTATAAAAATTCTGGTGCAACATTATAGTATTTATTCATAATTTTGCTTGTTATATCATTGTTTCTTTACACAATCAACGCAGTAAAAATTGATGCACAAATAATGAGAAAAAAAATTAGTTTTTAAAATCTGTAAATACAAAAAAAAACAAAGGTAACCACAATCAATTACGTTTAACTTACATTTGTCGTAACAGAATTAAGTCCGATTAAAACAATATACAATCGAATTATTATAAAATAGAAACCTTTATAAGCGAGATAAAAATCATGGTCCCTTAGACTCTCCGTTATCCAGGATTGACTATTTGAAGTGCTATGCGTGCACGATAACATAGAACTTGCATTGAATTGTAAAAACATTTTGTACAGAAATGGCATACATTTATATTGTTTTTCACGAAGTTATTTTGTTTTAAAAAGAATATGGCAGTCAAGTGTTGTTATTTGTGTAGGTATGTTTTTTTTTGTTATTCCAAGTACTTATCAAATAGCCCACCATACTTCGGCAAAATAAAAAGTTAGCACTGAAAATCATGTTACTATCTACCTTTTTTTAGTAAAGTGGTGCGAGTATTTGCCATGGGATGTTTTGTATCAAAGTACTTATGTATAGTTATAATAATGTTGAAAATAAAACTGGTGAATGACATGGGATTTGTATGTTTTACTGTTTATTCTAGTCTTCTATTAGTATCTTATTACCTTATGTATTTTCCATAATTAAATACTTTTTATTTAAAAAATATCTAAATTGTTAATTTTGTTGTTTATTAACATTTATGTGAAATCCGTTTTAGGGTTTCGTAGATCGTAAGGAAAAAAACGGAACCCTTATGTCATTTTGTTGTCTATCCTTTTTTCTCAGAAACGCGTTAAGATATCAAACTGGATTTTTTTTTGTATAAATAAAACACAAATTTCTTCAATACTTTTATTTCACAATAAAAATCAATCGAAACTCAAGCATTCCACCCATGCCGGAACACGAATACCTAAATAATATTAACAAAACTACTTAAAATCATTTCCTCATCATTTGTCCATACGACACCCAGACGTACACTCATTATCTATGGTTAGAAATAACAAACATTTTGGCGGCAAACAAAAAAAAAACTGTTAATAAAAAAAATGTTATTAAAAAGGTTTTTAATACCGTCAAAAGTAAAATAAAATTTACTTTCTAAAACCCAAAAAAATAAAAACATTTTCGTTAAATAAAAATCGGATTTTATTTGGTTATAGCCTAACACTTACAGTCAATTTTGAAACTAAAGTTACCTAAAAAAAACAAATTTCTACACAATTATGAACAAATTTCCTTCTTCATGCCTACATTTGGTTTGCATTCAATCAAATTCAAAATGGCCTTTGAAAAAATATCTCTCGTCTGTGACAACTTTAGATTTATTGCTGGCAAGAAATACAATTTCAATACAGATTAAATAAAAATATAAACAAAATTAGTATAAAACAATATAAAAGAAAACGGTAATGTGGCAAAACATTTTCAGTAGTAATTTCAAAAATAAGTGTAAGTGAAAATTAAATTTTTAATGAAATGATTAAATCAAACTTAATTTATAGGCCAAGTAAAGAAGTCAACATTTCTAGATGTCACCTACTTCTCACAAGTTGTGATTATTCCACATCATCTTCATGCAAAGAACTGCTGTTGGCTTTCATTGAAGCGCGAAGACGTTCAGAAACTTCTGGAAGCTTCTTGAGAAGCATGTGGAAGATCGGAGCTGGCATGGTTTGTTGAAGTACCTGAAATATGTATATTTTCTTATTTAGATCTAATTTCCACTAAGCCATCGCACCATCAGAAAAAACACTTAGTCCTAGATTGAGACCTTATTCAGTGAAAATTAGTGAAATACTCATGATAAGTATTAGAAGACAAGGCAGTATTAAAAACACTTGTTACTGATTTGGGCAAATAGGTTCATGTATATGAGGTCGTCCTGACGACCTAACATTCATAAACATATTCAAAACTTTGACAAACCCTAATGAAACTTTGTTAACATATCTATTGTGAATATTAATACTTACACTCAACAGTTGCTGTGTCTGTCCGCATACAGTGACAGCTTGTCCGAGATGCTCAACACCAGCTTCCAGATCACCTGCAGCCAGCAGCTCTTCACCAAGCTGAATCTAAACATAACAAAAATATATTAATTAACTATAAACTCTTAGTATTCTCTTAGTAGTAGGAACTATGGTTTTTGCAACTCCACAACTCGCCAAAGAATCCCATCAACACCTTTATCTACCTGGTGATCCTCAGGAGAGTTCTCAGTAAAGTGAGATATGGAATCCTATATCCAGTACAGTGTTTATACACTGCCAGTGTTGTCACTCTTGGTATGTCATATGTGTTAATATGACATACTTGACTATGTCCCCCTAGTGGGGCAGAGGGCATCTACAGTGTGTTGGCAGTTCACAGTTTCTATTTTATTATAAATGTGTATGTTTAGATGGATGTTTGTGAAAAGGTTTCTCCAGCACTGTACTATGGATCTTGATGAAATTCGGCACAGTTGTAGAACATAGTCTGGAAACACAGAGAGGCTACTTATTAAGTTTTTTTTCAATTCTGCACGGAAGGAGTCATTGGTGATAGTTATAAATTGTTTTCTTTACAAAAACCTAGATTGTATTATTACCTGTTGCAAGAAGAATCTTTGCATGGCTTCATGATCACTCATGTCGGGCAGGGGGCCACCTAATGTGCGAGATCGTGATGCATTCTGTTGTGCTTTCTGTCTTCCTACAAAATTTATTTATTTTTAATTATATTCATATAGATTCTTGATTAATAAGATTTTATTAATCTGATTTTTACAGGTTCTATTATATTGCGTAATTAGAATTTCAATATCAATTGTTACCTGATGTTTGAATTGTACTTAAAGTGGTAACATTACAATGATCACATACTTAATGGTTCTATACAATGAACTGAATAAGTTATAAGCGAGTGAAATATTATATGAAACATGATGAAGAGTTTAACCTCTCCAGTTTTAAATATGCAATATAAATAGGACAGATTATAAAATAAGTTAAGCACTAAGTCTACCGCATAATGAATCTACAACGTGTCATGCAGTGCTGCTTAGTTTAATAATCATGTTGTTATTTTGCAAATACTGCATTTTCAACGAGGTTACAAAATCATAAGACAGTTTTGTGGCATTATGTGATACAACTTTATAGGTTGTTATACAACACACTTCTATTATATTGATGGCGAAGATAATGAATGTAAATATTAAATATTGACAAATATAAGTTTAAGATAGAACAAATTAAAATACTTACGTTCCCTCAACTTCTTTTTGAACTGGGGATCCTTACGTCTCTGTTGATCGAAGTAAACACAATAGCCTAGAAATAGTGTTCCGGCTATACCGACTGCGATTCCAAGGGTAGCGCGAGTAATTTCCATATTAATTAAATTTTGGTTATTTAGTAGATTCATAAACCCACCAGAATATTTTTTCACTTTCGTTAGGTAAAGAATATTTTGCGTACCACCATTTAATACCAAAGAGTATGAGAAAAACCTTCAGCCACCAAAGATTGAGACAAAGGCACAATTGGCAGCTTTGGTCATAAGAAAATAAGTCTTTAATTTTTAAATAATATGCAAATAAAAATTAAATACATGTAAAACAATATCACAACCTCCTTATAAGTTTATACTCAGAATTTGAATTGTTTTATTAAAATACATTTTTAAAAGTTAATCTATATCTTTATTTTCTTGCCATAACAAAAAATGTCACATGTATACATGAATGAAATTTGAGATTTCGTTTTCATGTAAAAATAGATGTAATTTTTATATATGCCGGCCGACCCTTGTAAGAAATTCGCTTGTGAGATCCAGAGATGCCTTTCCGGTAAGTAAATTCATTATTATATTATTTACGATTGTCCTGCCGACAACCGACATGGATTAGACGCCATCTTTGCTTCAACCTTTCAGTCGCCTCCACAGATTTGCGGGCGTTTCATCGCCTATTTTCAATGTTTTGCTCAATTATATCATTAATGTTTGTGTCGAAAACTACGTAAAAAGTTTTAAGTGTCTTGCGTAATAGTTGAATGCAAAAATGAGTTTTTTCGGGTTCGGTCAGACGGCTGATATCGAAATCGTGTTCGATGATGCTGACAAACGAAAAGTTGCCGAAGTGAAAACGGATGATGGTAAAAAAGAGAAGTTATTGCTTTATTACGACGGCGAAACTGTATCCGGACGCGTTAATGTCACCTTACGGAAGCCCGGTTCGAAATTGGAGCACCAAGGAATTAAAGTAGAGCTCGTAGGTCAAATTGAGTTATTCTACGACAGAGGTAATCATCACGAATTTATATCATTAGTAAAAGAGCTCGCGAGGCCAGGAGATTTACTTCAGCACACATCGTATCCATTTGAGTTTGCCAATGTGGAAAAACCTTACGAAGTATATACTGGTGCTAATGTCAGATTAAGGTATTTTCTTCGAGCTACTATTGTCCGGCGACTCACAGACGTGGTTAAGGAAGTTGACATTGCGGTTCATACTTTGTGCAGCTACCCTGATGTATTAAACTCTATTAAAATGGAAGTGGGCATTGAGGATTGTCTTCATATAGAATTTGAGTATAACAAGTCAAAATATCACTTGAAAGATGTCATTGTAGGCAAAATTTACTTTTTATTGGTGCGCATCAAAATCAAACATATGGAAATATCTATAATTAAAAGAGAAACAACAGGGACTGGGCCGAATACATTTACAGAAAATGAGACAGTAGCAAAATATGAAATAATGGATGGTGCTCCGGTGAGGGGAGAGAGTATTCCAATAAGGGTTTTCCTAGCAGGGTATGACTTGACACCTACTATGAGAGATATAAACAATAAATTTTCAGTGAGATACTATCTGAACCTTGTACTGATGGATACAGAAGACCGTAGATACTTCAAACAACAAGAAGTTACACTTTGGAGGAAAAGTGATAAATCTAGATTACCATTACACAATCCACATCTACCACAGACATTGTCTCACCCTCCAAGCATGCCACAGAGACAACATAGTGTGTCAAGTGAAGAAAATTCTGCTAAAGGACTTTTACCTTCAATTCCAGAAAATGCTATGCAACGATCCGTCTCCCCACCAATGCCAGACATTAGCAAACAGAATGGCCCCAGTGAAATGGAACAGGAAAGCCCAGATGAAATAACAAAACAGTTATCTAACACACATATCCAAACTAACGAAGTAACTAAGTCAACTACACCTGATATTGAACACTCTGACACACATGAACAAGTAGCTGATAAACAAGAAATACCTGAAAAGCCATTGGTAGCAGAAAAACCACAAATTGCAGATAAACCTCAGGTTGCAGAAAAGCCTCAGATTGCAGAAAAACCACAAATTGCTGAAAAACCTCAAATTGCCGAAAAGCCACAGTTGGAGAAACCAGTTGTAAGCCAGCCCGAACCTATCGAAGCTGATTCAAGTCAATAACCTTTATGTACATGCAAAGTTGCTGCTGTAGCTGGCAATGTGAACTACATGTTTTCATATTTGAAAACAATTGTTTAAAGTTGAGAACAACTGTTTGAAGTAGAAAACAATTGTCTAGAGCATTGAGTATGTATATCAAATAGGTGGGCATATTATTATTGCGCTTTTTACAGTTTTATTTATATATTATGTAATTATTTTACTGTCTTGTCTCCAACTATTTATCTACAGACATGTAGAAATGTCATGTTATGTATATAACATTTAACATAACCTTAATGTTTATGTTCACAGAAATTAAATGAATTAGTAATATAAATAAAAATGAATACATAGTCTATACTATATGCTTTTTGTTAAGATGTCATTGATACATAATATAATTTTTCCATTAAAACATATCAAGATTCTATAAATAACAATACTCATAATAAATATTAAGACAAGATAATTTTTTCCCCCGAGTATTAATGTTTTAAAGTTGCATAATATGTTAATTTGAACAGTCCATTTCCGACGAATAGTTGTTCTTTACCATGATATATTCTTGTGTTTTTAGTAATATTCATCTCATTCATTGCATTACTAAATTGTAATAAATGAATGTTTATCCAATATTATTTTATCAATTTCATTCAACCTATGTTTATCACAGTTTTATCTTACTGTTTTAACAAGTTTCTGTACTAAACAAAAATATTAATTCATATAAAATACAAGTTTACATTTCAGAGATTGCATTCAACTTATATTTTCCAATAATATTTGCAATGAATGTCAAAAGTTTTGTCGCTTTGGGAAAAAAATTAGGATTTACTCGCATCTGGATCATAGCCATGCCCATAGAATATTTCCTGTGAGTTTTACAACTTTATTTATTATTTAATGCTATTGCATGTCGCCATTTTCTTTTAGTAATTTTTTTAAAAGCGATTTAATACAAAAATATGCCATTAGAAAATAAAATAGATTATGACTATTTATATCAGATATCGGGATAAATAAATAAATGATTATGCTAGGTTTATATTATTCCAGTACAGTAGGACAGTGGAGCTGGTACTATACCAGTTGCATGCCAGTGCTGAATTTGATTGACTACTGTTGTACTGGCATAATGTACACCAGTTATTACTGTATAAAAAAAATAGACTATTTGAATATTATAAAGGTTTTTAAACTAGTCATTGTACTCGTAAAAAAGTTAAAAGCAATAAACTTTCAAAATTGTCTTAAAATATTGTGTGTATTTGGATATTAATATTTAATATAATAAAATAAGCTATAAAAGAAATTAATCTTATAAGTATTAGAAGAAAATATATTTATTTTCGTATTTTAATAACACTGATTTTATCTGAATTATTTGTTGCACAAAAAAGTGTGCTTCATTAGAGATTTGCACATTTGCGTTTTAGTAAGAAATTATATTATATATAAAATTTGTAAATTGCTTAATTCATGAAATGTCTGCTCTTCATAATATTCTCAGTCAAGTTATACAGGATGTTTGGGAATGAGGTGTACAACAGAGTACCACAGATTCCTTGGTCGAAATATGATGATTTAATTTAACTTACGTCGTTTGTTTTACAAAAGGTGTAGTTTATGATGACATAAACAGTGTTTTTAATATGAATAAAATCTATGTAATATTTTTTGTTACATTTGAATCAATATAAAGTAATTAGCAAACTTTAGAACCTTCTAGTGGCTAAACGAAGCAACTTTGGATAGAAGTAAGTTGTACATGTTATTCCCGGACACCCTGTATATGTTCACAATTGTTCTGTGACATATTTTCCAGTATATGTCCACATCAATTTGTTCCAATTGACAATGAAGGAAGTGCCTCGCTGCCAATTGAATGGTCTTTGGTACGAAATGAAAGTGATTTATGAATCGATTTGATATTGATAAAAACTAAACCGCGTTATTTCTGTGACCTTGAGAACTTTACATTCATAATATTAGCTGCTATTATTTTACAATAATTAATTTTATCAATTACATAACATGTGAAAAAAAAATGGCCGCCATGTTTGTTTTTATCTTCCCTTGTTTATTTTCGGCCTTGGATTGTAACTAGATTTTGAAGTTCTTTAACGATTTTAAAAAGTAAATGCTATTCTTTAATTATTCAAATATTTTAGTTTCTTTCAATGACCGCACTGTACTGTAGTGGCCTAAAGACGTCGAGCAAATATTTAATTTACCCAGAACTTAATTTGGCACATCAGCAACAAGAGTAATCTTATGTATGAAATGCCAACTCAAGCACCGGGTATATTTTATCCATTTTGTATTATCTGTATAGAAAATGGCGATATGAATGTCATATATCTATATGTATTTATATATTATTGTTTGATATGTAACAATGCCTTTTATAGCATAAATTTTGCAACTGTAGATGTAAAATCTCATATATATGTAAAGGATTATAAAGAAAATAGCAAGAAAATATGTCCTGTATGTTTGCTATGTTAAAAATTTTATTTAATTAACAATAATAAGAATCTATAAGACTATAGTGTGTAAAAAGTATACTAAAATGTGTAATTATAATGAAATAACATATAGTTATTAGGTTTTAAAAAGTTGTTGACTCGGATGCATTGGAATAATCATGAATTTAAATAAATGGTTTCATTTTGATATATTTGTTTGCTATAACAAAAAAGTTTTATTGTAAACTTAAAACAGATAATATAATTTGTCTTAAGAAAAGACTAAGGCACAGTTTCCATATGAATATTAATATTCTGACTGGATTCTTTAAAAAAATCTATGCTTAAAGACAAATATCTTTGAAAAAAAAAACAAATTGTTCTTGTCTATCTTTGGTTTTGATCGTTTGTTTTTTTTATTCAATAATATTACATATGTTAAAAATATTATCAATTCGATGTTCTATTTTCGCATTTTTTTTAATCCATAATATTGTGAAAAATATGTCCATATATTTAAATTTTTGATTTATTTATAAATGTCTTAATGAAATTAAATAAACATTAATAGCAATTGTATTGTTGCGAAGTTAGTGGGTAAAAGACGGGCGGCTGTAATTTTTCTTTAAATATTTTATAGTATGCCATGTTATTTAAACTGTTATAACTCGTAATCTTCACATTTCGTTTTAGTATAAAAAAAAACGCGAGAAATCTCTGTATGTCTGAAGTTAGAAAGAAAGCTTAAAAGAGTGAAAGAGACCAAGATATACAATGGAAAGAGAAAAATGTATATCAATCGCTGACCTCTATAAATGGACTGGCTGTAAGACGTAGTATTTTGTGCCTATTTGATTTTCACCATTTTGGCGCTAATGGTCGCGGTTTATTGTTAGTGGTGTATATTCGAACTAATTATGTAGATTGATTTAACTGTCACGTAACATCATCAGGCACGTTTAAATCGGAACGAAGAAAAGATGTCATTTCCAAGCAATCGCCTATCCATTTATAGAAATCAGTGTTTTAGCTTCGACTATAACTTCAGAGATACAAAGATAACGCGTACTACTTGTATAAAAGTATCCTTTTTTTAAGAGTTTAAGAGCGCATGTCGATTATATCATATTGTTAATAAAATATATGTATAAATTGCAGATTTGTTTTTAATTTTGATGAAACAAAGACATATGGGTAATCAAAATAATTTATTTAATTTCACAGTCAGTTTATAAGTATAGTCGGTCGATACGAATCATAAATAGAAAATCTTTGATTTTTGTTTGTTTGCATTGAATAAGTTGCGAAAATACTAAACCGATTTGAAAAATTCTTTTACTCTTTGGAAGCTACACTATCCCTGGTTAAAATAAGCTGTATTATTACTAGATTTTGGTATCCTGCACAGACAGACGCGGGCAAATGTTAGTCTTATTATAAACTTGTGAAGTTGTCGGTCGGTCGGTGACATGGTATATGCTTGACGTCCAATCGATAATCAGAGCGCTGACCTCTTTGGACACGTGTTACACAATACTCTTGAAACATAAAACAAATGTAGAAACAGTATTATGTAGGGATTAAAAGTATATTTTTAACAACCCATATAGTACCCATAATAGTGTTGCAAAATTTACAAGATTCTAAATAATTTTCAAAGCTTGAGAAATATGTTGCCTGTCCATTTTATTTATCGTCTAATACGGCTTGTTATTCAAAAGAAGTCTTAAATAAATTACATAACATATCTATGTAAATATAAATTTAACCTTTGAATACTTTTGAACAGGTACCGTAAATAAAAACTTAACCTTTTGACGCCACGTTCGAATTATGAAGTACACAAGAGCCAATTCGTTCGTTCAAGTTTATTCAAAAGATATTTATATTTCCCTAACATAATCCATCAACAGTTTGAAACCTGCATATGCTATACGTTTCCTGATAAGCTGTTAATCATCGTGTAGCCTTGATAATACATTGCGTCATTGTGTGGGCGGGTCAATTCACTTTAAAACACCAAATAAGGTTAAATTTAGCTTAGGACTTTAAAAATGAACACACTCTCACTCTGAATTGTTAATTAGTGAAGGGGTAAATGATTATAGATTTAGTTGGACAAACTACACTAAGGTACAGTTTGATTGATTTTAGTTTTATTAAATGCCCCTAAGTTCGACAGTTGGACCCGTAAAAAACAAGAAGGTAGACATTACGAAGTTTCATTTGGCACAAACTTGGTACTTAAGCAAGATGTTGTATATTCATATCAAGATCCGTATATTAATATAATCTTTAATATCAATGAGGGAACTAGTTATATAATCATTTCCAGCTTCGCAATGTTGATTCTTAAGATTCGAGCAATATTTAAGGTTTAAGCTCTAACCAGTCTAACAACCCTCGTCGTAGTCTGTTATTATATATCGGTTTGAAACTTAATACCGTCTTAGTGTATACGTAATCTAACAACTATTTTATAATACAAAAATAAGTCGTTATAATTTAAATCTTGGTTAAAGAGCTAAGAATTGTATCGAGAAAGATTTTCGTCAAATTAGGAATCGTAAAATGATATTTTTGACGTATCTATGTTTGTTTAAAGATATGTGTGAAGTCAACCAGCACTGGGCCAGCGTAGTCAATCTGACAGAGTAGGCTTCGAGTCTCTTGGAGGGAACTTATAGTGATAATGATTTTTTTTGTCCTGCAGAAAATAAGTTTCAAGAAGTGCGTTGTGCCCGAGTCTTCGAGTCTATGCGACAGTGCTGCCTCAAGTTCAAGCACATATCGCTGGTATGCGAGGGTTACCGCCTCGAGCCGAGAGAGTTTGCGCCTGTTACAGACAGGCCTGATAAGAATTAGGTAAGAGTTATTTGAACTAGCTGCGTTAGGTTGGGAAAGATACGACGACGGACCGACCAAGGACGCCGGATATAAAGGGGCGCCTGTGATACCATGTCTTTGGAAGATTTTCCCAGACACCAAAAAAAGGCGCCGCAAAAATTTCACCCAGGGCGCCGGAAATGTTAAAACCGGCCTTGGTGATTTGTAATCGGGTTTATTATCATAGATGTATCATTCTGACTACTAAAAAGTATTTTCTTTCTTGCAATTGCTTTTATAACGTGATCCAAATATCCACGGAAACAGTTAAAGTTGTATGAAAGGTACATTTTATGCAGACAACGCCTCAATGGGCACACATTGCATCAAATTCTAAAATTATTTCTTCTATTCGCTTAAGTATAAAGATAACTTAAATCGTCGTTGTATCTTTTATCTAATGAACATCTCGGAGTCGTAGTAAAAATATGTTAATTACACAAACGTTGAAAACCTGTTTTAACTCTAAGGTATGTTATTTGATATGAAATCCTTTATTTTTTCAGATAATTATGGAAAATCCTCGTCGCAGTAAGACATTGGGTAAACGAAGTTGGATCTTTAAATATCCGAGGACATTTCAAATCACATTTACGACTTTGGGAATAGCTATATTTTTTTCTAAGCCTCTGTACGATTGCTTTATAAGACCAAGAGAAGAGTTTGACTTTACCGAGCCACCGACCACGTTCAAGAGACAAATACAAAGTGGTAACTAAGTATGGAATCAGTTATTAAAGCGCGGGAACGTTTGGCAAAATATCCTTTAATATTCGTCAAGTGTTCCAAACAGAGTGCACTGTATGCGCGTTGTGTATTACTTAAAGACGAAGTTAAAAAGGACGACTGTGCTCAAGAGTTTAAAGAATTCTACATTTGTTTACAATCCGCAGCAAAAGAATTAAAAACGAAAATTTAAAATGGACGTTCTTAATGACGTCATCAATTTGCCATTCAGCTATCATTTGATAGCGGGATTGGCAATACGATTAGGACTTATTGTCTATGGTGATTACCATGACAATTATTATGATGTTGCCTACACTGATGTAGATTATAAAGTGTTTACGGATGCCGCTAGACATGTTTTGGCGGGTAAATCCCCTTACGCGCGTCACACTTATAGATATAGCCCGATCATTGCTTACCTTTTGATACCAAATATTATGCTACATAAAGATTTTGGTAAAATTCTCTTTTCAGTCTTTGATATACTTTTAACTATAATTTTGAAGACATTAGTTGAAAATCAATTGAAGTCCAAAGAAGGTGGAAGAATTTCTAATTATTGTTCATATTTTTGGCTTTACAATCCATTGAGTATCGCAATTTCTACAAGAGGTAACGGTGATTCTGTGTCCTGTTTCTTTATTATACTATCGATATTTTTCTTGCAAACAGATAAGGTGAAGAGTTTAATTAAATACGTCTTATCCGGAATATTATTAGGTATTTCAATACATTTAAGAATATATCCTTTAGCTTTCAGTTTTCCTATGTACCTTTCATTGTGCGAGTACAAAATAAATCGAAACACAGATCTTAAAACAGGATTTCTTGCACTATTGCCCAATAAAAAACAATCGCTTTTAGCATTAAGTTGCATTTCCACCTTGGTTATAATGACATATTCAATGTTTTTAAAATATGGCTATGAATTTCTATTCGAAACTTATATTTATCATTTATTCCGAAAGGATACGAAACATAATTTTTCAGTCCTTTTCTATTACTCCTATCTGACAATGGACGAATTGATATTAGATGTAGTGAAACATATTTCACAGATATTCGAGTTATTTATATTGTTTGTGATAAGTTTATCTTTTGGTTGTGAAGCGAAAACTTTGCCCTTTGCCTTATTCTGTCAATCTGTTATTTTGGTCGCGTTCAATAGCGTGATGACGTCACAATATTTCATTTGGTTCCTGTCACTTTTGCCATTGGTAGTCCATAATCTAAGATTAAAACCATTTGTTGCTTTATTATTGTCTATAATATGGTTCATCGCACAAGGTGCATGGTTATTTTATGCATATTTATTAGAATTTAAATGCCGAGAAATATTTATATTAATCTGGCTGAAAGGTATTGTTTTCTTTTGCGCAAACATTTTTATATTGGTACAGATTATAAAAAGTTACTCGCCCGAATATCGGTTTGGCATAATCGATTATCCTTGTGGTGTGAAAAATAAATAATTCATTATTAAAGTAGTTGTAATATTTTGTGATTTCTAGTATAGTTTGTTCTTAGTAGTTTTAGTGATTGGAAATGAAATAAAAGATAAAACTTGCTTTTACACAATTTTATTTTTAACATTGTCTAATATATTACTAAGTTAATAATACCCATGCTAACACAACACCATTGTCAAATCGAAATGCAATGAGTAAGAAACTAATGTAAGCACAGATAAAAGTCGTTTATTTAATGACTTGTGCATTAAAATCCCGAAACTATTTGTACGTTCTCATATCTATGTAATAACTTGCAGTAATTTTTTTAATTAAATGTACAGGGTATAATCATTGGCAATAAAATTATATTGATGTTCATAAACAAAAAAGAAAAAAAAGGAGGTCTGTTCTAAAATAGAAATAAAAAAAATCCATATTGTCTATGGCACATTTTACTGCAAGTTATAATTGTTTCTGATACTTGTACTATTTTTTGGTTTCTTGCAAGTTTATTTTGGTAAGATCTTCAGAGTCTCCTTGCGACATGTTTGACAACTTCTTCCCGATGCGTTCATGAACATCTAAATATTTCGCAACACAACGATCCAAGCAGACTGATTCGCCTTTCCCTATAACAGAAATGTATAGAATACACAACAAAATAGTGGTAACTCACATTTGGATGATGTAAATAATATTATTATGTATTTGTTAGATATTCTGGCAGAATACATGCTATTTATGATACTAGAAATATGTAAGGTTCACTTGGGATAAATTTAATTCACATACATATTTACTTGATAACTCTGCTATAGTTCAAAACATTTAATTAATAAAACATGAGATACTTGTATTTCTGTTCAGACTAAGTCATAGGATGAGATGGAATGTGGATGGCTATAAACATAGAGGAAGGCCAAAGAAAGTATGGATGTTTGCGTGAAAGAGGATGTGTGTAAGAAGGGGGTAGATTCAGATATGACAGCTGATAGAGATGTATGGAGGAGGAGTGTACATACTGTGCCGACCCGCTATAGGGATAAGGGCAGGTTGATAACTAAGTTGTGAGCAAAAGCTTTATAGTACTAACCAAGTTCGGGCTCATGGTACTTCAAGGGTATGCATTTCCGATGACAGGCGGTGACTAGACGATTATACATGTCTGACATCATCTCAATCTCCAACTCCTGGACCAATTGCAGCTTTGCGGGGTCTAATTGTGGTACTGCCATCTTTGATTCCTTCCTTCGCTCACTTCACTCTCAAATACTAAAGCAAATATCTGAAATAAATTATATTTCTCAATTACCTATAACTTACATCCTATCTCTTTGTATTATTTTATGTTAATTTTAATAGACATTAAGAGCTCTGTATTAATAAGACTTGAAACCACAAGCATGCATGTGTAGATATATTAATGTAGAAGTGAGAAGTGTGTCAGGACTGTGCCAAATGGATGTCCTTGGGCTCTACCTAAGGTTTATAGTGTGATGTAGATAGTTTACTTACCACATCTGTTCTAGTGTTTTGGATATAAACTGTTTTTGAACACTGGTGAAAAATCCTAATATCAGTTTAGAGTTATATCTTTGAATCTTTAAACTTTGGAATCTACATAGGACTAGGACAGGAAATATTTAAATGTGTAGTTCAAGACACTGAAAATGTATATGTCTGGTTTTAATATAGAATGACAGACATGATATATTTTTTTTATATAATAGAATTTCAATATTTGGAAACATAGAGATGATAGATGGTATTAGTGACATATTTTGTTAATAATTTTTACTTACATTTTCTCACAGTTTCCTGTACAAATCAGGATATTCTCCTTCGTTAGCTCTGCGCATACGTTCGCGCGCTTTCATATTCTCAATACGGCGGTCATTTACGTAGTTTTTAGCAACCACGAAAAGAGATAAACTTGTAACTGTTATTCCTAACCTGAAACATACAAATATCGCTTTGTAGTATTACAGATATTGCAAGTTAATTTTAGCGTAAAATAAATATTTTATTCCGATTCATTCTAATTTACATACAAATATCCTGATCTAATTTTCTACAGTACGTATGTAAACTAGATCAATAAGTAGCATAACACAAACTATGAGGATATAAGTACTTTTTTAATATTTTTAATAATTATCTAGTATATTTTGATAACCTCTAAGATCAAAAAATAAATTTTGGGCTCACCACCAAGAATATTCTTTGTGAATAACAAGGAATAATATTGGAAATATTAGATATATTGGTAGTTACCACGACAATGTTATTTTTCCAAATTTTCCAAGCGACATACTCTGCTCAAAGAAAATTTCGCAACAGTGACAGATTCCTGAAAGAAAAGAACATAATTTTTAGGTTAACATTTTCCATCGATTTAATTTTCATAGACAATGTTGTGGTTGGTAATTCAGTAATTCATAAAATCAAATTTATTACCAATGTTAACGAGATTAATTTTTCATTTAATATGTTTCATTTCTCAACGGTTGGTTAGTAATATTGTTAAACTATTTTTGTGATTGGATTGCACCAATTAAACGAAAACTTTGGTTATGGTTACTCGTTTTTTGATGGGGTGCTTGGTGCTTGTCAATAAATGTCTTGAGTAAATGTCAGTTCCTTGTAGTTGTTTGGCTTAATATTTACTAATTTGTATAAAATCTAATACTAAAAGTCGTGCTGAATACGATTTATTTGCGTAACATATGTAACCTCGTTACCACCATAACAGTATTGTGAACAAATCGATTATATTTTGTCATGAATTTCATTAAGAAAGCGCTTCTTCATATACTATCAAGAAAATATGAATATTGTTGTTTATGCTTTGAATCAATTAAAGTAAATGGCGTTAATATTTACAATGAAGTGGAAGTAAAAACAACGCAATCGGAAAACCATGTCAAACTGTCTGAAATATTGTTTTTGTTACTAGGAGAAGAGGTAAGTGACGACCACAAGTAACTCATTAAAAAGTTATAAGTTTGAGAAGCTTGTTTGAAAAAGTTTATAACGCTTTATCCACATATGTTACATTGCGACCAATTTCAAACATTCTTCAAACAATATTTTGCTATTAAAATAATTTTTTACATGATTTAATCAAAATGTTATACAGTGAAACCTGGTTAAGTGAGACATCAAGGGACCTGCAATGTCGTTTCACTTATAGAGGTATTCCACTTACCCAGTGTGCCAGATATACAGGTATAAATAAATATCTGTCTCATTTACAGAGGGTTCTACAAAGAGTAGATTTTGGCACATTAAATTCGGCACAAACTTCTTTGTGTGTTTTCCCACTTTCATAAACGGATATTAACTTCAGTTTTTCAAGTAATGATAACGATTGTAGCTTTTGTTTTGACATTTTTCAAATAAACATCTGTATGATAGTAAAGCGAAACTAAAACTGAAGGTAATTGAAGTTCAAAATTTGTACTTACGTACTTGGAATGACGTGTGGAATTTGTGGGTAGAATAAGAATGAGTAAACAAACAATGTTATCTATGATGATAAATCGAAAGAACAAATCCCAGATATAGAGGTTTACCTCGTCCCACTAACAGAGGTAATTCAGTGCCAAAGTGTTGGGGCCTCAGCATGAGTTCCAGTTATGGAGGTTTCTCACTTATCCAGGTCCCACTTAAGCAAGTTTCACTGGATAAGCTTTTAAGTTGATAACAGCTAATTTCAAACATGAATAACTTAACTTTTGTTTCAGACTTTCAGCAATTTCCTAACCTCTGATATAATTTGTGAAAGATGTATGAAGATAGCAATAAAGAGTTATAATTTCATTAAAACTACGCAAGAAAACTCAGAACAGTTATCTAAAATAATTAATATACTTTCCAATTGTTCGGAAAGTACAAAACATGAAAGGGATGCATGTCAAACGCTTTACATTTCTTTAGATCCTGAAAACTACACTAGTCAATTGTTCTATGACTACAATCAACTTTCAAAACCATATTTAACTAATGCTGTACAGAGATTTCAGTCTCTAGTCAACACGGAAGAAACCCAGCAAAACTTAGAGTTCCAATCTGAAATAAAAATAGAACAAGATGATTACTTTACCAATATTGAAAAGATAAACCATAAACACAATATTAGAACAAAGAATAGAAATCACGTGGCAATACCTACTAGTGAAATGCTTTATGATAAAAATAATAGGCAAAATTTAATATGTAAAGGCTGTTTAAAAGATTTTCCATCTTTATCCAACTTGAGAAATCACTACATAAGAGTACATGCACCAAAAGCCTTCAAATGTTCAGTGTGTCATAGAAAATTTGGTTCCCAGTCAATCTTAGAAGCTCATAAAAAGGAAAGCCACTGTACTCTCATATGTATGGAGTGTGGCAAAACATTTCATAACAGACATACACTTAGGATGCATGAAATGGGTCATGATGGTCTCAAATTAGTATGTCAAGCTTGTGGCAGAACATACAAAAGCCATACAACATTCAAGAAACATATAGAACTGAATATTTGTGGTCAAAAAACCCGAGCAAGTCCTGCCGAGGCTAAGTTTACATGTGATTATTGTAATAAAAAGTATACTCAAAAGGTGTCATTGAGGGTTCATATACAACATGAACACGGTACCTACAAAAGTCATGATTGTAAATGGTGTAAAAAAAAGTTCTGGGCACTTAGTCGGTTAAATGCACATATAGTGAAACACACACAAGAAAAGAAGTTTCATTGTAACATTTGTGGTGGTAGTTTTGTTACAAAAGAGTCTTTATTGTATCACACGCGTATTCACACTGGTGAGAAACCTTATAAATGTGACCTTTGTGATAAAAGGTTTATTTCATCATCTCGGAGAGCTGAACATGTGAAAAATCATCATTTAAATGCCACTTTGGAATGTGATATTTGTCATCGCAAGTTTAAAACACAGTTGTGGTTGGACAAACATAAAAGCACACATCTAGACAAGAATAATGGCACAAACGTAATTAGGCAAGCTCTAGCTAACGATTATGAAATTCAAATATTGGAGGAAGATAAAATTTATCTAGATGTGTCTGATTGTGAAGATTATTGCTTGTGATTACCAGGAAATGTATGAATTATGTTACCCATGCTATTTATTCTAATTGTTTCAATAAAGTATTTTGCTAATGATTTTTTAAATTTTATTCTAACATGTTTTTCTAGCTGACCAAAATTATGCGGACGTTAATAACTTCCAATGTCTATAATAGTTGTGAAAAAATATTTCAAGTATTCGTCTAATTCAAAATTAATAATTTCAATACTTTATCTATGAATTACATGTGTTGTTTAATTTTTATTGTAAATTCCTTAAAGGTTATATAGTCTTTTTAACTTAAAATGCTGTGTCTACATTTGTTTGATTTTATCTGTGGAGCACAGGTGTCGACAGTATGTCAACATCAGCTGGCGAATACAGTACTATAGTATACTTATTATACTCTTTGGGCGAATATTCAAACTGTCATATAAAAATGCTGACAGTAAGATATTTTTGCGGCAGATGTTTCTAGCCGTTATTAATTCATAAATCAAAAAGTAAAAGGATTTATAAAATACAAAATGACCTTTATGGAAGATACACTCATTATTTTGATATCCCAGGTATGTAAATGTGTTAGGTTACGCGTTTTTCAATAATTTTTGTAGAGATACATTAAACGCTTTTAATACCTCTTAAACGTTAAAAAGTTGTAAAAGAATATACAAAAACAAGGTTTTCATGCTTAAAATAGTGCTATTTAATAATTATAACATAATACTTTTCATTTTTTTTTTTTCCAGGTAATATTTTTTGTGGGTGGATGGATATTTTTTGTGAAACAATTGTTTCGTGACTATGAAGTTCACCACACACTTGTTCAACTCATATTTTCGGTTACATTCGCGTTGAGTTGCACAATGTTCGAGCTTATTATATTTGAAATCATAGGATATTTAGACACAAGGTTAGTTTTACAATAATTCTTATTCATTATCTTAAATTTTGTATTCCCTTTTGTTTAAAGAATAGTAGGTAGAGAAAGATCATAGTTTTCTACCTGTAAAAGTTCCATGTGCCCTTGCATGCTAGTTTTAATACTTATAATGTGTTCTTTTTCTAAATCAACATGGTTTCTATGAGTTTGTTTAAGATCAGATGAGTATATAGTTAATTCTTTCAGTTCCAGATATTTCCATTGGAATTTTGGTCTATACTCCTTGTTGTTTATGGTTATAGCTCTGATACCTTTTTACATTGCCTACTTCTGCATCAGTAATGTAAGATTTGGTAAGTGAATTCTTATAAACCACTAGATGTCATCCATGACTCCATCCTCGCGGAATGAAAAAAATTCTTAGTAGCCTATGTGATCTTCCAGACCAGACTACAAATTTCAAAGAGATAACATCAAACAAACATCTATCCATCTAAACAAACTTATAAAAAAGGCCTAAACACTCACATGTTTTCCTGATGTGTGTGTATTATATGTGAGCTGAGAGCCGCGTCCGCGAAATAATACCAGTCCCACTCACCCTGATGAAGAGCCCCCGATGGGTTCGAAACTAGTTGATGCCTTATGTCTCACGAAAGTTTGAATAATTTAACATCCATTTAAACATTCGCATTTATAATATTAGTGTGATTATTTATCATTGATGTTTTAATTTAGTTTTTGTTAAGTACTAAATTTTTATTATCACTTTTATTTTCAGTTTCCAAGAATATTATAAGACCACTAACAATGTTTGTGTGGTTCATTTATTTATATTTCTTTTGGAAAATTGGAGATCCTTTCCCTATATTGAGTCCAAAACAGGTAAATACTAATTATTAATTTTATATAAAGTTTTTAGTAACAAAAGTAATGAGTTTGTATGGCTATGAAAATAGAGGAAGACCAAATAAAGTATGTATGAATTGTGTGAAAGATATGTGTAAGAATGGGGTGAATTCAGATATGACGGCTGATAGAGATGTATGGAGGAGTACATGCCAAGTTAAAGTAGAGAAAAATGTAGGATGATCTTTATATTTTACAACATTTATATTTAAAATTAAAATATTTATGTTCTATTTAAGAATAAGTGTTTTTAAAAAATAACAAGCTGTCAACCGCAACTCCGTCAGTGCATTATTAAAAAACTTTATTATTATTCTATCCCAAATTTACAAATACAGAGATAGCTTCTAACAAACATCCATCTATCCGTCCATCCAAATATTGACATTTAAAATATTAGTATGATTGTTTATTATTTCATATTTGAATCATCAATTCATTCAATGGGTTATAGACACTTTTATTGTAAAGTTGTATATTGTTCTTTATTTGGCCATGCCATGCGGTACAAGCTGAGCCTGTAGCCCATTGTCGTCATACATATATATATATATATATATTTTTGTAATTACTGTGTGATTTGATGTATTTGTGTGATGGCAATAAAGTAGTTTTATTTATTTATTTATATAAATAAATTAATTTTTTAACAGTGGTAGAGTCCGCTTTAACATCTTTGCACAAATTGTCCTCACCCGGTGAAATACCACGACCACACAGAAGACAGGCGTCAAGTGGAAGCAATTCCAAGTACAGTTTGATGAGTGTGCGTCCCGGTGGCCTAATTTAGTTCTCTTTCCCTTCCCACCCTTTTTCTTATAAGGAATGGATGGGAAGAGGAAGTGGACTTTCCGGATGAGAGGATGCATGGAAAGGGAATTTTTTTCTTACTGTGCATCCTCTCCTCCGTCGATGAAAAGTAAGCAACACATATGCAATTACGTATGTCTATGGGCAACGGTCACTTCGCTATTTCAGCGATTTCAGGTGGCTCGTTTGCCATCTTATGATATAAAAAAAATCTATAAATATCATACTTGTATTTTTAGGGTATATTTTCAATAGAACAAGGAGTGTCACGAATAGGTGTCATTGGTGTCACTGTTATGGCACTATTGTCTGGCTTCGGTGCTGTCAATTATCCATATACATCAATGGCTATATTTATAAGGTAAATTATGTTTTATTAATTTAAATGTTTACCGCACCTCTAAAAATATTTTTTCATCTGATTAACTTAAAAATGAACTAAAGGACAAATTAAATATTACTCAAACTATTTATTGAATAGTATGTTTGCTTTGTTATTATATGACTAGCTGACATCCGCGCGGTATTAAAAAAACATAGTTAGTAGTCTATGTGTTCTTCCAGACTATGTTCTATATGCATATCAAATTTCATCGAGAACCGTTCAGCCATTCTGGAGATTACTTCAAAACATCCATCCATCTAAACATTCGCATTTATAATATTAATAAGATTTTATTTTTACAGTTTGAATAATTTTAGGACTCTATTTCTTAGTATAATAATTTTCAGATTCCTCTTAAGGATTGTATGTTTTGGGTGTAAACTAGATCATTAATAATTCTAGAATAATTTTTTTTAATTTTCAGACCTGTTACACAAGCAGATGTATTATCGATTGAGAAAAAGTTACTGCAAACAATGGATATGATACTTGTGAAGAAGAAAAGGATAGCACTAGCGGAAGCTAATAGTATGGGAGGGAGACAGCAATACAATCTTTTAGACCAATCCGGTGTCAAGAATAGAGGATTTTGGACGAATATTTTATCTAGTGTTGGCAGCATTGCTAATCCACTCAGTCATGGAAGTGAAAGTAAGTTGTCTCTTTTTTATTACTTACAAACGATAAAGATAGTGATAATAGGAAAATTGACACTGACTAAAAGTGAGGTTATAAAATTTAATAGTCTAACTAAATTTTTACTAAGTTATCCAACTAAGTAAATGTTTTACTACTAGCTCTGTTTAAGACGTTTTAATTTAGCACGTAGATAGCAAGAGTTTTTTTTTTGTTAACGCGGGGAATGCGTTTATGCACTTCGCCGTACGTGCTGCGGGGGCAGCAGGGACGGTTTCGTGTGGGACTCCCGGCCTGGGAACAAGACCGGACTACACACTAAACCCCGCGGTGTTCTCCTACGCCCAACCGGACCGTGGCATCTACGTTAGTTTATCCACGGCCCGGCTAGGGGGGAGCCCCTTGGTAGGGGCTCGACACGTGTAGGGAGGGGTCATATCTTAGACCCCTCCCATCACCCTATGATGAAACCCTCCGCAGAACACGAGAGGAGGGCCATCCGCCACAATCGGCGCGACAGGTCCCCCGACCCGTGGCGCATGGCACTCTCTAACTTGATTGTAGGGCCTCCGCGTACCTCGCACGCCAGCGGCCCCTCGCTGGAGCCCTGCGGGGCGGCAACATCTCGTCGGCGCGTTCGCGCTCCCGCAGGGCCTCTCTTTTGGCCGCCATCACCTCGCGTGCGAAGGAGACGACGACGGCCCAACTCTGTTCGCTGCCGGCCATCGCACGTATGACGGCCGACAGCGACAGATCTCGCCCTATTGCGCCAGTGAGCGTGGTGCGTTGCGCGTCCCAGCCCGTGCACATGGCGAGCGTGTGCTCTGCCGTGTCCACGTCGCCGGACGCGCAATGGTGACACTCGGGACCCGATTCAATCCCCACAACTTCACACAGGTAACGGCTGAAACAGCCGTGCCCTGTGAGAAGCTGCGTCAGGAAGTAAGTCGGTTACCGGTGCCTCGCCTCCACCCACTGGCGCAGGACGGGGCGGACAGCCTCGATGAGCCGTCTGCTCACCGAGGCGTCCGCCAACCTCTCTTGCCATCGCCGGAAGAGATCGTCGCGACCTTCCTTCCTCCAGCGTACGATCTCTTCCGGGAGGGGCTCCTCTCCTCTCTGCCGCATCAGGGCTCTTCTCCGGTAAACCTCCGCTAGGACCCCGGCTTCGAGGTCTCAGGGGAGGCTACCGGCGATAAGGCACGCCGCCTCGTACGACACGGTGCGGTACGCTCTGGAGGCCCTCTGAGCCATGGTCCGCTGCGCACGCCGCAGCAAGACCATGTTGCCTTGGCTCAGGGGCCTCGTCGCTCACATGGGCGCTCCGTAGAGCGCCTTAGAGCTTACCACACCATCGGCGAGCATTCCTGCATACTGCACCAGCTTTGGTGCCAGTATCCGGAAATGCTCGCCGAACCCCCATTTGCTGTCGAGGACGAGACCAATATATTTCATGGTCCCCCCGACAGCAATGGGGGTGCCGCTCACCGCGATGGAATATCCGC